CGCAACCTCGGTATTGACTATGGAGCGGGGTTGGTGGCCAGCCGTGGCACCGTCCGTGGGCGCGTTTCTGACATGAGGCCGAGGTTGGTTCGGACGGGTTTCCTGAGGAGCTCCAAGCCTCGTCACCGTGTGCTCGGGCGTATGGCTCGAGCGTCTTTGGAGTCCTCGGTGTTGTTCGGGGCTTCGGTCATGGGCACGAATGGAACGGAGCTGGAGGTCCTTCGAGGCGCGGCTGAGAAGCTGCAAGACCATCACCAGGATGGCAAGTCCCGCACCTTGGCCCTGCTCCTGTCTCCTGTGCCCCGTCTGGACCCCGTCTTCAGGGCCACGTGGCTCCCCGTCAAGGCCTTCCTTCACGCCCTGTGGCACTCCTGGCTTCCCAGGGATGCTTTGGACTTTGGGATTCGACGGGCTCATGGGCACCTGTCTGGGCTGGAGCACCCCTGGTCCTCCATCAGGGGCCCCTTGTGGTGCTCTTTGGGCGTCTTCAAAGCGGGTAGGTATCACTGCTACCTCGGCTACCTCTTGGATCTGGCCTGCTGGGGCCGACATCAACCCCACCGACTACTGCCCTGTCACTATCCAGGAGCTCTTTGTTCGTGCGGTGGAGCGCTGGCAGTTTGCTAGAGTTGCTGACCAGCTTGATCAGCGTGCGTTCGACACTGGTTTGATCCTGAGCCCCCTGAAGGCCCTGCTTGGCAGCAAGAATCAGCTCACGGCCCAGCAGAGAGGCCACCTGCGTAGCACCATCGTGGGGGGCCAGTGGCCTCAGAAGCGCCAAGTGGGCCGAAGGCTACGATACCACGTCTGCGTGCCTGCTGTGCCCCTCTGCTGAGGGTACGCTATTGCATAGGCACTGTTCGTGCGTGCGCCTCGACAGCCTCGAAGGGGCCCCAGCCTTCAGAGCCAATGCGGCTCAGGCAGCAGTGCAGTCGTCGCCTGCCCTCATTTTTGCTGAGCGCTGTTTAGTGCCGTTTCCTGTGCTCGAGGGGCCGCCGCCTGGGCAGCCTGTCTGTTGGGGGCTCGGAGGCCCTGACTGCTTCACTGGCGACATGTATCCTTACATTTCGGCTTTTGAAGCAGATCATCCGGGTCTAGCGAGTGCTGGCTGGGGGTGCGTGGTGCTTCATCCCGATCGGAATCAGGCGGCTGCCTTCTGTTATGGGCCTGTACTTGGTCCGCTGCAGTGCATTGTTGCAGCTGAGCTCATTGCAGTCATTCACATGATGCGGATTGCGACACCACCCGTGCGCAGTTTCACCGATTCTGCTCTTGTTGTGGACGGTGTCCACGAGCGTGGACGGGTGGCCACCACTACTTGTGTTGCCGCGCACGCCCAGTTCGAGATGTTTAGGGTAAAAGGCAATGCGACCGTGGAGGACGTTCTCTATGGACGCACCACAGCCAGACATAGGTATGGTAACGCGAAGGCGGACCTTGCTGCCAGGAGTGCTGCTGCATTTCACAGTGTTGCGCGTGGCGCGCGGGAGCAGCTGCAGACGCGCGCCAAAGTCGTTAAAGCGTGGGGCACTTGGATCGGGCGCCTCAGTGACGGCTTGGAGGATTGTTGCCATTCTAAGCGTCACAAGCGAGGCAAGCCGCCAGTGCCTCAACTGATTCTGGTTAAGGACACCCCTCCCAGCGACGTGGTTAGTCGTGCGTTAGCTGCTCAGGAGAAGCTGGGAGAGGGGTCCAGAGTGCACGCCCTTGCCAAGATCCAGCTACAAGATGGTCCGCTCGTAGTTGGATGTCTGCGCTGTGCTAATTTTGCCGCAACTCGCGTTTCGAGCCTGCCTGCTCCGTGTCCCCCCCAGGCGACGGAGTGGGGGCGGAAGGTGCTCACCAGACTGGCTAGCAAGCGAGAATGTACGCTTGTTGGGAAAGTCTAGCTTGTTCTTTCTCTGGATCGTTTGATCATTTAGCCGCAGTGCGTTCCCGTGCCCCTTTTGCGGATGAAGGTTCCCGCCGTTGCTGTAGCAGCGGCCGCCGCGGGGGCCGTGCAGACCGATGGGGTGAGGGGGGCGCATGCGGTCTCTGTCCGCACACACGTGGCCTACGGTGGTTGTAAGGTGCGCCCTAGGCCAGGTGCGGCCTTTGCAGGCTGACGAGCGACAGACTCTGCCGCTCGCCAGGTTGTGCCCAGGAGGAGGAGGAAGGAGGAGGAGAAGGAGGAGGAGGAGGAGGAGAAGGAGGAGGAGGAGGGGGAGGAGAACGAGGAGGAGAAAAACTGCTCAGAGAGTGGGTCGAGACCTCTGGAGGTCGACGCCATGAAACAAAAATCACGACGTCGGACGGAAAAAGAATGAGCGGCCAAAATGAGCCGCTACAGGAGGGTGGCCAGCATCTTCGGCTCCTCGGCCTTGGCAAGTAGGCCTCGCGGACCTTCAGGTGGCCCCAAGATGGCCCCCAAGAAGCCCACGGATAGCCGAAGAGAGACCCTAAGAGAACCCCCACGAGGGCCCGAGCAATTGCCTCCTCGGATTGCCCATCCAAGCCCATAAGCGTCCCCCAAGTTGCACCCTAGGCCGCCCCGACAGCCCCGAGAGCCCCGAAGATGCCCTTGGCCAGGACCCCAAGCGGCCGCCAGGACGGCCCGAAAGAGTACCTAAAATGGCAGCGATCGAAGAGGAGTGCCCGAAGACATGCAATTTGCCATTGGGAAACTCGTCCCTGAGGCCCCACAAAAGACAGGTGAGAACCCGTGCGGATCCGAAGTCGATGGTTCGTGGTCTTCCGTGCGGCCTCCCGTATGGCCTCCCGTATGTATGGTACCCCGTGTGGTCTCCCATATGGTCTCCCAACTGGTCCCCCGCATGGTCTGCGGCAGGGCCTCCCTTCTCCTCCTCCTCCTCCTCCTCCCCCCCCCCCCCCCTCCTCCTTCTCCTCCCCTCCTCATTCTCCTCCCCCTCCTCCTCCTCCTACCTCCTCCTCCTCCTCCTCCTCCTCCTCCTCCTCCTCCTCCTCCTCCTCCTCCTCCTCCTCCTCCTCTTTCCAGCACGATCTCCCGCCTGGCCTCCCGTGTGATGTCCCGCATGGTCTCCCGTAAGCCTCCCTGGATGGTACCCCGAACAAGCCGTATAACACAGTGGACCCTGCGCCACAGAATCGTGATGCAAAGTTAGAACCGCATGCCGCCAACCTCATCGGAAGTGACCGAATGCGACTGGAGCGAGCCGCAGGAACAGCCCCAACAATCCCCAAGATAGTTAGTGACCACGGCCGCCCCGACAGCTTCGGGATTTCCCAAGATGCCCTCGAAACGCCTCAGGGGGCCGCAAGAAGCCGCCAAGATGGCATCGGACATCGTCCGAGATGGCAAAATATCGGTTGGGAATGCCACAGAAACTGAAAGCGTCCAGCGAGGATACGAAAGACGTGGCAATAATGGACTGCAAGCTGCGCAGATTTGGCCGCGCCGCTACAGAAGGGGCACCAGGGCCGTGATCGAGCAAAGGGCAGGCATCCCTGGTCCCTCGAGGTCCAAAACTGATTCAAACATTGAGTGCTTCAACGAGCTGCCAGTTCTAGGCTTTGCAGCAGCCTGACCATGCCTGACCTGCCCCAGTGGCCTGCTTGCACATGGCCTAGGTTGGCGTCGAGTCAACCCCCACTGGAGAGCCCAACAAGGGCCCCAAGATCCGGAAGACGGCCCCAAGAGAGTCACAAGAGCCCCCTAAGAGTGGCCCACGAAGCCACACATGTGGCCTACGTAAGATGCGCCAAACCAAGCCCTAAGGCGTCCCCAACATGGCACCCGAGGCCGCCCCGATAGCCCCAGGGATCCCCAAGATGCCCTTGAAAAGCTCAAGGAGCTCCTGAAAGGCCACCGAGGTGGCCCTGAAGAAACTCTGAGATTGCCCGAGATCGGCTGAAGATGCTACTACGTAGCGCAACGTGTTCTTACGCTTCTCACAGGGCGCGACCAGAATGAGCCGCGGGCGGAGCAAACCTGGCCGCGCCGTGTGGGGACCTCCAGGGATCTCCAGGGAACAGGATTCGTTTGACCGTGGGCGCCAAGATAGTGCGCCAAGCGGGCAAGAACAGCCACGATCGCTCAAAATAGTGCCCGGGGGCACGAAAGACGGCCGAACAGAGCCCCAAAGGGCCGCAAAGGAGGCCGCCGATGTGGCCCAAGATGCACTCGAGAGGACGGCAGCTGATTGCCGACATGCTGCCAAGATGGGCGGCCAAAGAGAGCCCTGCATGCATCCCAGATCGTAGAGTAGCACCTCCAGTGGAACCCACGAGCAACCCAAACATGAACAGCAGCTCGTTTGAGGAGTCTCGTCTTTCCGGCTTCAGGAGCCATCGGACGGCCTCAAGATGTCATATGGCTCCCGACTGGGTGGGAGGGATGAAGGGAGGGATGAGTATCGTTTAACCGATCCCCATCCCCATCGGCATGGCCTGGGCCCCACTGGCCGATTTACCCCCCTAGATGGGGATGTAGGTCTTCCTCTTCGGGCTTCGAGGGGTGTATCCCCAACTGGGGTGGTGATTGGGTGTGGGTCTCGAAGGGGATGGGGATGGGGATTTGTGAACCGATACTGAAGGGAGGGGGGGAGCCGAGGACGAACTGCCCAGACGCGCGGCCCGCGATATGAGGGGCAAAGGGGACCACTACCTTGAAAGCTGCTGGACGAGCACACTCCTCACGCCGGCTGGGCGGGCCGGACGCACTGAGCAAGCCTTCTCCCATCATGCGAGCGTCATTTTTTGTTCGGCGTTTCGACCTTGAGCGAAGAGGGGGGGGGGGGGGTCTGGCTCTGGACCTCTGCTTTGTGCGACTGCTTGCGGCAGTGCGTCCGATGATGGCGGGGCCCCACCTGCTCGAAACAGGCGCCAAGAACAGTCAAGATCTACTCCAAGAGGCGGGGGGGCAGGGGGGGGCGAGGGCCCGCGCCGATCGGCAAAACAATGAATACAAAAACGACTACCATCACCTCCACTGCAACACATAAACGTGACGCACACATTCACACATGAGTTGGTCGGGTCACCTGCACCATCTCGCGCGTTGACACGTTCAGCAGCGTCTGCGCCGGTTCCAACCAAGGCGAGCAACGCCTGGGTGGCCACTCTCACCCGCTTGAACGCTTCCCTCGCCTGCGCTTGCTACCGTCGACGATCCTCATCGGCGAGCACCGCCCTTACCACAACGCTGCCCTTATTGACGCCATGGTCATGGTGCTGCTGGAGGGAAGGGGTCCTGCATTCTTTCGCTGTTCAGCCTTCAAGAAGTCTGCCCGGGCCCTGGAACCGTCAGAAACCAGCAGACGACGGAAGCTGATCCTGGAGCAAGCCGCGCGGTCCAAGACCCCCCTCGGGACCCTTGTCGCTCGTGCCGAACTCAGCCGTTGCTGTAGTTCGCAGTCTGCCCGCGAGGCAGGGACAATCGATCGGAAGCGTTTTCATAGGGGGTAGGTCCCACGTGCAACCTCAGAGTGCATCGTGCCCCCCAACCCACCTGCAGCATCGGCCATCACTCGCCCGTCAGCCTGTGCGGGCTCAACTGCTTTACGCACTTTGATGTTGGCCTGGAGCGTGCCTCCTCCAGATACTTCACCTTCTTCGCCTCCTCCTCCTCCTCCTCCTCCTCCTCCTCCTCCTCATCATCATCATCATCATCATCATCATCATCATCATCATCATCATCATCATCATCGCCTGTGTGATACAATGTTCTGTGATCGTTGTGGCCACTACTCTCTACCAATGTAGCAGACCCGAAGCACGAGTGCAAGAGTCGTCGCTGAGACCCTGGCACGATTAGTCGTCTGAATCGGGTGCGATGCGGGAGGCACCCTATGAGTGACGCACCTGTTGACGATATGAGTCCTATTGACCATGCTGATGTTGTATATGCGCTTCCTGCCCCCAGTGATGGTTTCTCGTATCGGGCTGCGTTCGATCCCGAATGGCTCTTGGAGACCGCCAATGTGAAACAGTAGTTGCCGGGGAGATTGTGACGTGTGTGGGCGGTCGATGTCAAGCTACCTTGTCGACTTGCCTGCTGATGCGGGTAATTACAGTCTCTGGATACTCTGCGGTGCCAGCGCAAGTACTGCGAATGCCCCCGTCCGCATTGCAATTCGCGTTCTCCTGGGGCCTGCTGTTCGTGTTCGTTCATAGGCTTGCCTATTCGACCCCGTCCGCGTTGCACATGGCGTCCTTTTTGGGCCTGCCGATGCGAGTATTCCAACACCTTCCCAGGTCGCTATCCTACGCAGGTAAGCGCCAGAAACGCTCTCTGACTCTTATCAGGACTCACTTTTGCACTTGCACGTCTGCAGGACTGGGTCTCTTTAGGAGTCTGCACCTGCTTGCTGCACTTGGAGCAAGGGCTGCGTCTGATGTATCGCGCCTGCTCTCCTTGCCTGCCTGCGCGCGCAGGCTCGAAGAGAAAAGCAGGAATTAGGTCGCTAGGCCGCTTACCCATCGGTCGGACGAAGTAGGTAGAAACATGAAGTAGGAAAGCGTTGAAAGTAGATTGGGTGTCCGCCCGCCCCCTAGAACGGACGGAAAAGGTGAAGCCACTCGATCATTGAGTTAGTAAGGCGCATAAAGTATATTCGAATATGAGATTCCAGAAATACCTACTTTCAACGACCGATGGCTAATGTTTGCCCGCTGGCGCAGTGCGCGATCGCCGCCCTTCTCGCGTTTCTGGCCGCTCGGCTGTGCAATGCCGGCTTCGCCCTCCTCGCGTCCCTCGTCGTCTGGGCCGTCCGGAGGTGGTGTGGGCAGCCCCGGAAGGCCCGGACCACCAAGAATCTCTGAGCGCGTTCCATTGCTTGCAAAGTGCCTACAATCGGGGCGCTGAAGAAGGAACCCTTTTCGTTGGGGAGGGGCTCGGTGTTCCTTGATCGTTTTACAGTTTGCCTTTGGTTTTTCCCGAGGTCATCCATGGGAAATCGAAGTTTAACTTATGGGGAAAAGGGGCCTCGTTCCAAATTTTGGGTTCCTTGGGTCAGCGCCCCGACTATACTCGCAGACGTCAGACAAAACACATGTCTTCTTCTACGTAATGAATCGTGAGTCCCCCGCGGCGGATCCAGGCCATTTGCATTTGCGAGTAGCTACCTTGCGAGTAGTGGAGCGCGCCTGTCCAGAGGATGTGGCTGACATGGGCACCCCCGATTGGCGCGCACCGGCCCTGACGCTTCGATGCCAGATTCCGCCATGGCGACCGGTGGAGCCCGCGACGGGGAGCCCGTCAGCACACCGGCGACGAGGAGCCCAGCACGAAGAGTCGGCGCACCCGTCGGCCACGTGACTCCGGCGCAGGCGCGCCCGTGGAGCTCCCTTGGCCCTCCGAAGGTGCCCGAGGCGCCGACTCACGTCGCGCTGGTCCCTGGGGTGAAGGTTTCGGGGATTCCCGTCGCCCTCCTTCCGCGGGAACGTGGGGAAGGGGGCTTTGGGGGCGGCCTCCACGGGCGGCGCCCGGCCCCCCTTCCTTGTCGCTCGGGGCCAGAGCTCGCTCCTCTTCAGCGGCGCAAGCCGCGGGCGGAACGGGGACAGGGGGCTGGCAGGGGGGGGCGCCCGCGAGAGGATGCCATAGGGGAACAAAAAGTGACATAAACATAAAAACTCGGAGGTCCGCGCGGATTTCTCGGATCGGCGCTGGGGCCCCCCGGCGGCGCCTCCGGCGCCACCCCTGATGCCCACCTCCATGGTTGCTGGACTCTGGCGTGGTCCAGCCCAGCTCAGCTACAGGAGCAGGATGCTCCCTGCAGCGGGTGGTGGCCGAGGCCACAGTGATCCCCGCCACGGCGGTCAGCAAAACCGCCTCGGCCTCCTTCAAGGCCGGTGCCGCTTGAGAGGTGTTCTCCTGTGGCGTCCCTCCCAGCAGCAAGCAGGTGCACACCAGCCGCCGCATTGCGCCGGCGGCCGTGCACAGGGGCCCTGGCCCCTCCGATAGAATGCCAGCCCGAGCCGCAGCGGCTGCGGGGTAGAGTGGGAACAGAGAGAGAGAGAGAGAGCTTGCTATGCCCGTTCGTATAGTTCGAAAGGAACCACGGACAGCACATGCACTCCTCACGCCCCGAGCAGGAACAGAAACCGGCGAGGTGGACAAGAAAGCATGGAGGACGTTGCTGGGACCACTTCCCAGCGATCACTCCGCGCCGAGCGTGAAGCCATCACCTTCCATTCCCATCCGCCAACCCGACGGCGTGGTGGGGCCCTGGTGGGGGGGGGGGAGCGGAGGGCCTCGACAACCTCGACGCAGCCGCGGTCGGCCGCCCAGTGCAGGGGCGCCATCCCGTCCTTGTCCGCCTCGGAACGCGCGCGGGCGGGCGAGCCTCCGGCAGCGGCAGAAGCACCGGCAGAGGCACATCTCGGCGGAGGCGCGCCGGCAGCAACGCAAGGGCGTGCGAACGAGGGGGGTGGCCCTCCGAGGAGGGGGGGGGCTGGTGAGAGGGCAGGGGTGCTTCCTAGAAGGCCCCTGCAAGCAGGCCGCTGCCTTCTGGGAGAAGCTCCCCCCCTCGTGCAACCCAGCCTCGCCGCCCGACCCGTTCTGTGCGAGCCGCCGAGGCTCTGGCCGATGTTCCAGTGTTTGGGGGTGGGGGGGTGGGGGGGCTAAGCTGCGGTCGGCGTCGTTGGGAGGGGTGAGGGGGAACGTGGGGGGGGAGGAGGAGGAGGAGGAGGAGGAGGAGGAGAGAGGAGGAGGATGGCGAGGAGGAGCGAGGAGGAGGAGGTAGGAGGAGGAGGGAGGAGGAGGAGGAGGAGGAGAGGAGGAGTCAGGGAGGGAGGAGGAGGAGGGAGAGGAGGAGGAGGAGGGGAGGGGAGGAGGAGGAGGAGAAGGAGGAGGAGGAGGAGGAAGGGGAGGAGGAGGAGGAGGAGGAGGAGCAGGAGGAGGAGCAGGAGCAGGAGGAGGAGGAGGAGTGAGGGGAGGGAGAGGGAGGAGGGAGGAGGAAGAGGAGGAGGAGGAGGAGGAGGAGGAGGAGGAGACGAGGAGGATGAGGAGGAAGGAGGAGGAGGAGGAGAGGAGGAGGAGGAGGAGGAGGGAAGGAGGAGGAGCGGGGGGGGCAACCGGCTCAGGGGGGGGGGGGGGGGGGGGGGAAAACAAGAGTAGGCGACGAATCGCTGGCGAACCCGCACAGATCGAGAGCGAACCCGCGCGCGCCCGAGCAGCGTGGGCTACGTCAGGCCCCTGTCGGCGAGCACTGGGCGATCGGGTGTCGGTGCACCCCCCTGACTCTGCCCCTGGGGGGCAGGAGCGCACGGGTTTCGGCCAGGTCTGGAAGGCCCTGGAAGGGCCCTGGATCGGTGCTTCAAAGATGGGGTACTGAAGGATGGGGTCCTAAGGGCGAGGTGCTTCAAACAACGCAAATCCTCCCGTGGACCCCTTCCTATCCTTAGGACCCCATCCCTCAGGACCCCACCTTTGAACCACCGCCTTGAGCCCGCGGTCTGCAATCGTGCCTCCGAGCGACGTCGACCCCGCGCACGTGCGCGCGGGGCACAGCGCTCGACGTCCGTGGCGCTCGCGGCCTGTCCCCCGCTCCTCGCTGCCCCTGGATCCGCCCCCTCCCCCCCAGGTGTTTTGGCGGCGCGCGCACTGGGGCAGGGCGCCGCGACGATGCCTCTCAGAAGGCGCCTGCCCTACGTCTAATTACGGACAAGGCCCGCGCCTGCTTAAAAAAAGCAGGGGTGCTTCTAAGAAGCCTGCCCCCCTCCCCCTAACACCCCCCTGCGCGAGGCTGAGCGTTGCCCCTGGAATTCGGGTCATGGCTCAGCCCTCCTGCGGCCGTCCCAGGCGAGCCAGGCACCCCCGGGAACGCCCGCGGCGAAACCCGGCCGCTGAAAGGCGCACCCCGAGGCTGGAAGGCCGCCGAGAACGGACAAAACGCGCGACAACCTCGAACATCCAGCCCATGCCCCCCTTCGCGATGCCCACGACTCCCGGCCACCTCTCTACAGGAAGACAAAACCTAATAAACATGGACGTCCGATGGTCCGCTCGGATTTCTGAATCTGCGCTGGACCCCCCCCCCCTGGAGCGCGGAGCGAAACAAGGGCGGAGGCGGTGGTGCCGTCAGGGAGGGGCCCAGCGCGGATTCAAGAAATCCGCACGGACCGTCGAGAGTGTATGTTTATGTACTGTTTGTTGTTCGACTCCCCCCGCTCCCGGACCCGTCTACAAGCGCGGGGGGCGCGAGCAGCCTGGAAGGCCAGCTGCGGACTCCTCGCCAGCTGCGCCGCGACGGCCTCCGCGGTCCAGGCGGAACAGAAACGGGCGGGATGAGGAGGGATGCCGGCGAGCCTGCCCTGTCTAGGGGAAGACTGCGACGCATCACAAGCACATCCGTGCACTTCGCGGCAGGAGGCGGCGAAGCCGGCATCAGGCCGCGTTCCGAGCTCGCTGCTGCGTCTGCGCAAACTGCCAGCAGCATGCGAGACTGTGCAACGACGCGTGAATTTCACCCCATGGAACGGGAAAGAGGGGGTGGGGGGTCTGGCCGAGGCTGAGGGCCAGGGGGAAGATGACGAAGAGGGCCACGGAAGACGAGGATCAGCACCAGGCGCAGGAGGAAGAAGATGGAGGAGAAGGCATGCTGACAGACAGGCCACGCATGTGGCAAAACGTCTCAAACAAGTTGGGACGCACGCTTTCTGTGCATGAACCGTCCTGCGATGCCGCAACTGTTCCACGCGAGCCTCCTCCATTTCACGAAATGCATATCCCCGCTCTGGCACCCCCGCTCCGGCCCCTAGAAGACCCTAAGATACTGCCAACGCGCCCCTGGATGAATCCAAGGGGCATGCATGCATTCCCTCCTGCTCATGCATAAATCATGTATATATATATACATATATATATATAGATGCACGCATTCGTGCATGCATGCATGTATAGATACATACATACATCCCTGCACGCACGCACGCACGCACGCATGAATGCATGCATACATACACACGTAGGTACATACATACATGCAGATACGTGCATACATGCATGCATATATACAGACAGACATACATGTACATATAGATACGTGCATACATACATATACATACATACGCATACACATACGTACATATTATCCATACATATACACATACATACATGCATACACACATCCTTGCATGCATACATACGTACATATATACATACATGCAACAGATTTACATACGTGCATGCATGCATGCATGCACATAAACATACACATACATACATACAGACAGACAGACAGACAGGCAGTCAGACAGACAGACAGACATACATGCATGCATACATACATACACACATATAAGCACATACACACATACATACATGTACATGTACATTTACGTCCATACATACATAGATGCATACATACACATACATACATATATGCATGCATGCATGCATGCATGCATGCATGCATGCATGCATGCATACAAACAAACAAACAAACATACATACATACATACATACATACATCTGTGGCTGGAGCCCTGCGCGGAGCGAAAATCCCTCCTGGGATCGCTCGTCCTGGGGTTGTGGGAACGCACGGAGCGCGCGTTCGAGCGCACGCGGCGCTTCGAAGCGCTGGGAGTTCATCTCTCTTTCCTCCTCGTCCTCCCCCTCAACTTCCTGGCAAGTCTCACAAGCTGCCCTGGTGCGCAGGCTCTTCAGCGCGGGGCGGTGACTCGGGCGGGCGCGGTGTCATGATGACGTCGACGACGGCGGTATCGATGATGCTACAGTCAACCCGTAAACAAAGGACGCAGGAGAAGGATGCAAGGGCCTTGGAATGCCATGTCGACATTTTGCGAGCGGCGTGCGGCGAGCGAAAGCGGCCAAGGATGGGCCGAAGGGGAAGGATGTGAGGGTAACCTTAGAAAGTCGCCAATCCTTCCTGTGCGGGTCGACCGTAGTAGTGATGATGGTGGCGATGATGACAATGTCGACGACAAAGCCAATGACGGCGCCGATGCTGGTGGCAGCAATGACGGTGATGATGTCCATGTGTCGGTGATGGAGGTGGTTGACTACTGATGGCGACACTTGCGGCGATTAATGACGGCGACAACGGCAGTGGTGCGATGGCGCTGATGAGGGCGAGGGTGAGGAAGTACGCACACGAAGACATCCAGGAAGCGCGGCAGGCTCTATGTTGACAAACACTTGGTCTTGAAGATGTGTTTGAAGCGCTCGATCTTGAAATGCTTCGAAAACAAATGGGCGACTTCGGAAACCCTGAACCCAGGAACGTTTTCATCTCTTGGGGGCACACATGTTACTTCCGCCGCCTTCCGCCGCCTTCCCCGGCGGAAGAGATAGCATCTCTTTCCGAGCATGTTCGTAGGGTGGAGAGCTCAGGGTGCAATCCATGTGGGCCTTTGCACCTCGAAAGGTAATCCGTCTTGTGCTTCACCTTTTGCCGATTCATCAACGGCGAAGCCGAATCAGGTCTAGATTGCAGCGTCACTGGACAACCCGTCGAGTCTGGGTTTCGGAAGGAAGGATCCTAGTATCCTCTTGGAGGGAGAGCATGTGTAGCACAAGCTGCGTGGTGCAAGTACTGCGATGCACGCGGTGCCACGTGTGCGGTGCGGGCTCCGTGATGTGGCACACATGGTGCAAGCCATGGGGCGACGCATCTGTGATGCAGTGTGTGGCGCACGCTGTGCGCTGCAGGGCATCCGGTGCAAGCCACACGCTGCACTCTGCGTGGCGCACGGTGCAGACAGTGTGGCGCACCCCAGCGCACGGGGCGGCCACACGGCACCCACGTGAGAGCACGAGGGCGAAGCCCCGACACGCCTACCCAGCGCACGGTAAGCCCACGAGCCTCCCGCGGGAGGCCACCAGCGGGGCACCGGGCAAAACCCCGACACACACATGCCACGAGTTAGGAGCGCAAAGTCGGAGCCCCACGTTGCTGCACCATCTGGGGGAACATCTGTCCCGGTGCGTACTGAATCGCCAGAAAGGTCTGGGCTCTTCACCCGACCCCACCCGCCAATCCGCTCCCTTCGTTTCTCGAAATACCATGCGCGCCTCTGCGTTGCCCTCGGCTATCTCTGCGCAGAGCTGCCCGACTGGCGTCCCGTCGAAGTCGCCATCCTGGGATCAAGGGGCGATGCAGGAAATGCAAAGGGAGGAGGAGGGGAGAAGGAGCAGGAACAGCAGGAGAAGAAGGATGCAGCCTTTCCTTCAGGGAGGAGAGGCCACCTGCAGGACAGCAGCGGTGAGCCGGAGCGAAAGGCCCGCAGCAAGCGGCTCGCTGCGAGGCGGGGGTTTATCCAGATCCACCGCATGGGAACCGACGTCCTGGGGACACAGCGGGCGGTGGATCTGGATCTCTTGTGGCCCCTGGGGGCCACAATCTGTCTACGTCCACCGCCTGTGGAGGTCTGCGATCGATCCTCCAGGCGGTGGTTATGTAAAGATCCCCGCCTCGAACACACCCACCTGAAGCACAGCTCCAGCCGCAGAAGAAGAAGTCTCTGGAGATCCCCTGAGGCATCCCCTGGGCCCCTGGAGGCCTCTGGAGGAGTCCAGGGGCCCCCAGGCACACCTGGAGGCCTCTGGGGCACCCCTTCCCCCAACAGAAACATCCAACAATATCCTCGGCCCTCGATCCATGCCTCCCCCTCCTCCTCCTCGTCCTCCTCCTCCTCCTGGTACTTCTCCTCCTCCTCCTCCTCCTCCTCCTCCTCCTCCTCCTCCTCCTCGTCCTCCTCCTCGCTCCTCCTCCCCTCCTCCTCCGCCTACTCCTCCTCCTCCTCCTCCTCCTCCTCCTCCTCCGCCTCCTCCTCCTGCTCCTCCTCCTCCTCCTCCTCCTCCTCCCTCCTCCTCCCCGATTGGATGGCCAGGAGGGTTGGCGCTGACAGCGGACGGAGGACCGAATTAGGAAGAGCATGCCCTCTCCGAGCCTGCAGCTCAGAGACGACGCGTACTCCAACTCAGCCACTGCTACCCCGTGTGCTCAGCCGTGCGCGTCCAGCCCCTTAAGACGTTCCCACAAACTATTCCTCCTGCTGCCTCTCCTCCTTGCCTCTCATCCTCCTGCTGCGCCTCCTCCCCCTCCTTCTTGCCCTGCTCCTCCGCCCCCTTCCAAGCCTCCTCCTCCTCTGCTCAACCTCCTGCTCAACCTCCGCCTGCTCCTGTTCGTCATGTTCCTCCTGCTCCTCCCCTCCTCTCCTCCTCCTCCTCCCTCCCTCCTCCTCCTCCTCCTCCTCCTCCTCCTCCTCCTCCTCCTCCGGGCGTCATCCTCCTCCTCCTCCTCCTCCTCCTCCTCCTCCTCCTCCTCTTTCTTCTCCTCCTCCTCCTCCTCCTCCTCCTCCTCCTCCTCCTCCTCTCCTCCTCCTCCTCCTCCTCTCCTCCTCCTCCTCCTCCTCCTCCTCCTCCTCCTCCTACCCCCCTCCCCCCCCCCCCACCACCACCACCACCAACCCCCCACTACACACCACCACCACCACCGTAGCATCCACCTCTTGCTGCTCCTCCTCTCCTCCTCCCTCCTGCTTCTCCTCCTGCTCCTCCTCCTCCTCCTCCTCCTCCTCCTCCTCCTCCTCCTCCTCCTCTTTCCTCCTCCTCCTCCTCCTCCTCCTCCTCCTCGTCCCTCCTCCTCCTCCTCCTCCCTCCTCCTCCTCTCCTCCTCCTCCTCCTCCTCCTCCTCCTCCTCCTCCTCCTCCTCCTCCTCCTCCTCTTCCTCCTCCTGCTCCTCCTCCTCCTCCTGCTTCTGCTCCTCCGCTTCCTTCTCCTCCTCCTCCTCCTCCTCCTCCTTCTCCTCCTCCTAATCCGCCGACCCCGTGTGGGTGGGTCTCTAGGCGAGTGGGATTCTTCATCCCCATAATCTTCCCCCCGCCCTGGGCGCCCAAACTGGAAATTTGACCCCCTCCCCCCGCCTGGCCCGAACGCGCCATGGGGAGATAGAGAACCTCAAAACGGGCCAAGAGGGTCTCAAAGAGCCCCCGGTCCAAGAATGCCCCAAGTCGCCGAAAGATTGTTCCAAGACGCACAAGATGGCCTCCAGACGGCCCACGATGCCTCCAAGACGCAACTTAACATCATGGTCGTCGTCAGCAGCAGCGTCAGCAGCAGCATCATCAGCATCAGCATCAGCATCAGCATCAGCGTCAGCATCATCAGCATCATCATCAGCATCATCATAATCGTCATCATCATCAATATCATCACCATCATCAGCATCGTCATCATCATCATCATCAGCATCATCATCATCATCATCATCAGCAGCAGCAGCATCATCAGCAGCAGCAGCATCGTCACCATCATCATCAGCAGCATCATCATCATCAGCATCAGCATCATCCTCATCATCATCAGCAGCATCAGCATCGCCGTCGTCGTCCCCATCATCATCATCATCATCATCCTCCTCCTCCTCCTCCTCCTCCTCATCATCATCATCATCAGCATCATCAGCAGCATCATCATCATCAGCATCATCATCATCATCATCATCATCATCAGCATCAGCATCATCATCATCATCATCATCATCATCATCATCATCATCAGCACCATCAGCATCAGTATCAGCAACATCATTATCACCATCATCATCCGCAGCATCACAAGCATCAACATCATCTTCTTCATCATCAGTATAGTCGCCATCGCCATCGCCATAGTCATCGGCACCATCATCGTCATCGTCATCGTCATCCTCCTCGTCTGTGCTATTTCTCCTCCTCGTCGTCCTCCTCCTCTGCCTTCGCCTCCGCCTCCTCCTTCCGCCTCCACTGGCTCATGCTTCCTTCCCTCTGAGGAGAATGGAGACACGGGGCACATGGGGCACGCACTGATGTAGAGGTGCATACCAGTGTGGGCAAGCGCAGGAGGGGGAAGGGGGAGCATGGGCAGCAGGAGGAGGATGAGGCTTGACACTGCGGGCGAGATCGCCCCCACGGCACGGCCAAGGAAAAAGATCTCAGGAGGGCCGAGCATCGAGGGTCGAGGATGCAGGTTCTGGACGTCTCCGAAGGCTGCCGGCAATTCAGGCCTTTGGGGAGCCCCAGACCTCCCGGGTCCTTCGGAATGGAGGGAAGGGCGGGAAGCGGAGGGAGCAGGAGCAGAAGGGGGAGATTTGTGCATTGGGAGGGCCGGAGCGGCCAGCTTGAAAGAGCTCGGGGCAGGAACACGTCCTCGACCGCCGCCATCGTGCTCGCGCGAACTCCCATGCCGGTGCCCTGGCGAGTCATGGAGAACGGAGCAGGAGAAGGAGCAGGAGGAGGAATGGGCGAGAGGGAAGGGGGAGCAGGAGAAGGAGGAGAGGGAGGAGCAGAAGGAGGAGGAGGACAAGGAGGAGGAGAGAGGAGGTAGAGGAGGAGAGGGAGGGAGGAGAGAGGAGGAGAGAGGAATGGACGGAGGAGGAGAAACCCGCGCCACGAGGAGGGCCCCCAAATCGTCCGCTCAAGAAGGCGCCGGTTTCGCCCGATAAGTTTTCGCCCGCGGCGGCGACTGCTTCGGGCGAAAATCTGCTCTACGAAACCGTCACTGGGCGGAACCATCACCGGGCGAAACCGTCCTGGGCGAAACCGATCTGGCGAAATTGACCAGGGCGAAAACGCCCGGGCGAAACCGACCGGGCGAAACCGACTGGGCGAAAACGATAGGGCTAGCGGGGAACGGATCCCCCGAACCAGTGGGACTCAACGAACGCAACCAGGCGAACGCGACCGGTCGAACGCGACCACGCGAAACCGACTGGGCGACACCGACCGGTCGAAACCGCTTGGGCGAATCCGAGCAGGCGAAACCGACCGAGCGACACCGACTGGGCGAAAACAACCGGGCAGAAACCGACCGGGCGAAACCGTCCCAGGCGAAACCGTCCTAGGCGAAACCGACAGGGCGAAACCGTCCTGGGCGAAACCGACCGGGCGAAACCGACCGAGCACCGTGCCAAGCAAATCCATCCCATGCGAGACCGACTGGGCCAAAAACATCAGGCGAAAGCGATTGTTGGGAGGGGGGGGAGGAGCGACCAGGGGAACAACAAAAAAAAAACGACTGAAGCGGAGGAGGGAGGAAGAGGATGGAAGAGAGTGAAGAACGGAAAGGACGATGAGGAGGATTGCGGAAGGGAGCGAGGACGAAAGGAGTACGAGCGAGGAAAAAGGAAATGAAGGATGAGGATGAGGAGGAGTGGCAAACATGTACGTCAATGTTTGACCCTCAAGCGTTGCCACACAACGAACAAGTAGTGTGCCCCCCCCTCCCCAGCCACCAAGCGTTGCCACAAGACGAGTAACAATATTTCCCCCCAGGCGTTCCCGCGTGACGAAAAACATGAATGGTATTTGTTTCTGGCTCGCCACGGTTCCACGTGACGAGCCGAATAGAATTATAGTTACTGCTGCTGCCCCGGTGCGTTGCCACGCGAAGAGTAAAGTGCAATGCCATGTTTCTGCCTCCGAGGCGTTGCCGCGTGAGGAGTTACGTACATGATGAGTTGCCGATACCCCACTGCGTTGCCACGTGGCGAATAGAACAGAATCGTAGCAATTTCGCTTCCAAGGCGTTGCTACGTGCCGAATGCACTGAACTATATTTTTGCCCACTGCGTTGCCACTTGGCGAGCCGAGCAGAATGGCATGCTTGGTTCACCTCGTTCAGTCGCCACGTGCCGAGCTACATACGATCGTGGTTGTTTCGCCCCTCAGGTGCTGCCACGCAACGAAAAGTGCGGCATGTTCGTTTTCCGCCCCCAGTGCGTTGTCACGCGACCAGAAAAATAAGACAGTGTTGTCGTTCGCCCCAAAACCTTTGCCGCGGACAAACACGAGTGGAATGCATTTCCGGCCCTGGCAAACCAAGTGAACTTGCATTATTTCCGCGCAGTGGGGCATCGGCGACTCATCATGTACGTAACTCCTCACGTGGCAACGCCTCGGAGGCAGAAACATGGCATTGCACTTTACTCTTCGCGTGGCAACGCACCGGGGCAGAAGCAGCAACTATAATTCTATTCGACTCGTCACGTGGAACCGTGGCGAGCCAGAAACAAATACCATTCATGTTTTTCGTCACGCAGCAACGCCTGGGGGGAATATTGTTACTCGCCTACGTTGCCACGCGACGAGTGCAGTAGAACGTTTGCTTCCGCCCCCAAGGCGTTGGCCCGTCCGACCGGCTCGCGGGGACCCGCCCGCCAGACCTGCCCGCTCGTCCGCCCGCTAGGGCCCGCGCGCCCGACCCGCTCGGCAGGGTCGTCGTCGCGGTCGTCGCTTGCCTCGTCGCCGTCGCCGTTGTCGTCCTCGTTTTCGTCATCGTTGCCTCCGTTGTCCTCGCATGCGTCATCGTAGTTTTTCTCCTGGCGCATCTGCCCCGCAGTTTTTCTCCTGCCTCGCCTTGTCTCCTGTCTCCCCTTCGTAACCCTCCCACTTGTTTATTTGTCCTCCTCCTCCTGCTCCTCCTGCTGCGAATCCTTTTCTCTTCTTCCTGCCGCCATTACCTCCCGCATTCTGCGTTCGGCGCTCTTTCGGGGCAGGGGGGAACGAATGTAAAAAAAAAAAAAAAAAAAAAAAAAAAAAAAAAAAAAAAAAAAAAAAAAACATCGCGGGGAGTGCCCCGCCTGGGAAAGGGCCGCTCCGCGGGGCGAGCTGCGGCTCGCGGGGCGCGCGACCTACGGCAGCGCCCCCCAAGGCAAACTGGGGCAGGGCGAAGACAGCACGACGGCGACGACTGGGCGAAAACAGCCGGGCAGAAAAACCGACCGGGCGAACCCGGCGGGGCGAGACCGCCCAGGCGAGACCGCCGGGGCGAGGCCGACCGCGCGAAAGCGACGGGGCGGAACCGGTCGACCGGGCGAAAAAACGATGCCCGGCGAAGACGATGCCGGGCGAAAGCGCGCAGGGGGCGCGGGCGCCATCCGAGGCGCCGGGGCCCGCCGCGCGGCCGGCATCACAGGCGGCCCCTGGCTCGCCCTTGCTCGCCCTTCCTCCTGCGCGCGCCCCGCGCCCTCCTCGTCCGCCGCCCTCCCATGCGTCGCCTCGTCGCGCCGCTCTGTCCCCGGCGGCCGCGCCGCGCGGCGCGCCCGCCGCGACCCCCTGCGCGGTGACGCCCCCAGGCCGAGAGGGGCAGCCTCCAGCGCGGCGCTCAGCGCGCGCGCCCAGGCCAGGGGCGGCTGCACGGGCAGAGCCTGCGCGAGCAGGGGTCGGCGAGGACCAGCGGGGCCGTCGCGGCGGACCTGGCGGCGCGGAAAGAGCACGGGAGGTGTCGCAAGGACGCGCGCCCTGCGCTTCTCCGACACCGCACTCCCGTTGCATCGCGTTCCGCCGCTCTGGCCTCTGGGGCCACGCGGGGGCGGCGCTTCGCCACTGCCGGCGCTGCGCGCGGCGCCTCCGAGGCCTCGCCGCGCCGCGCCGCGTTCGGCGCGCACTTTGCACGCGGGGCCTGGGAAGTCGTCGACAACGCTGCCCATCTGGACGGCGGCCGCCGCCGCCGCCCAACGCTTCCGGATTGCCGCGGTCGCTAATTCGGAGCTCGGCGCCAGGAGCAGCCAAGCTGCGCGGACGTCCAAGACGGCGTCGCCCACACCCCTCGCATCGAAACGGCCCCAGGCCTGCGAGTCCACGGCGACGCGCTCGACCTGCTCGCCCATGGGGGCCCCCTCCGCGGGGGCGAAGGTCATGGCGGCGAAGCTGATGTCGTCGACCAAGACCCTCACGGGGCCCGCGTCGTCCGTTTCCAGCAAGGGCGAAGTCTTTGCGCGCGCCAGCGAGGGCTTCGCACGCTCGGCGCGTTCCACGGCGGCCTTCTGCACCTCGCGCCTGGCGGGCCCCGCCGAAACTCCCAGCTCTCCTCGATCATGGGGCCCTCCGCCGAAGCCAGGTCGCAGCTCGCCGGCGCCAGTGGGCGTGGCGCGCGAAGGATGCCCCTGCGCCGACGCCGAAATACCCCTCAGGAGCTCCGCGAACGCAATGAAGACAGTCAACCCGCCGACGTCGTCGCGCAACGCCCAGAGCCGGAAGCGCGGCAGCTTCTCGTCGCGCGTCGACACGACGTCGGCAAGCGCCCGCGCGCGACTGGGCCACTTCCCCCGCGGATACTGCGTGAATCACATGGCCCCAAACAGGACTGTTCGTGGGCTGCCCTGCCACGCCCCTGTTCGCGCGCGCCGCGGACAATGACCGCGAAGGCTTCCGCGGCGGCGCGCGCCGCGGACAATGATGTCCGCAAAGGCTGCCGCGGCGGCGGCGCCCGCGTCGCCGCGCAGCAACTCGCGGCCAGGGCGCTCGTCGGGCTCCTCCGCCTCGCCCTCCTACTCGCCCTCCCCCCCCCCTCCTCCTCTGCCTCCTCCGAACAGCATTGACAACAGCGAACAGGCGAATACAATAACTCTCCGCCATGAGGCGCCTGGATACCCGACGCAGTAAAACACGCCCATGGACAACAAGACCTTCTTGAAACAAGCGGCGGCCGCGGATCTGTCAGGCGCCGACGACGCCCGCAGTCGGAAGCCCGGGGCGGGGGGCCTAAGCGGGGCGACCTCTGCGTTCGCAGATCGCCTGCCCCTCGCCGCAGTTCGCAGCGAGCCCCTCCACGCATCCTCGTCGCGGCCCGCCCAGGCCACCCACTCAGGCGCATCCCATTGCGCGGTGTCGTCTCCGCTCCTCCGTCGCGGCATCGCACATTGCCGTCGCCTCGGCATTGGGCCGCGCCTTCGGCTCTGCCGGTTAGGCCCGAGGGGCGCCGGGAGAACCCCTGCGGGCTATCTCACGCTGCTCTCGCGTCTGCCTTTCGAAGCCTCGTTTCTGGCGGCCGCGGACGCGCGGGAAATGGTCGGGCACCTCTGCGACGGCGAGGGCCGCGCGCGGCGTGGCCGGCGCCTGCGAGAGGGGGGGGGGGGCGCAGGCGACGCCCAATGCGCTGTATTCCATTGCGGAACGATTTCTTCCGTGTCGACAGCCGCGCCCTTCTCCTCTCTGCGGGCGCGTTACGTTCTGACTGCCAACGTCCGTGCCATCCGAGCGCCGCGTCGCGACAGAATGGCGCTCCTGCTGCACCTTACAACCGTTGCCATGTTTGCAGTCTCGTCTTGTTTCGCCTGTCTGTGGCGACGCTCAGCCTGCAAACTGTCTGCGCGCGCGATGGCGAGGATCGTTTCGAGCCCCTCCTGAACCTCGGGCAGTCGCCCGTCGGGCGAAGGCCCGGCAAAGATTTCGCCAGAGCAAAAACGAATCCGAATCCCGCGGGCACTCTCGGGGGGGAGAGGCGGCGCGACGCCAACTCACAACCGAACCCACAACCACCAACAGAGCCTTTTCTGTCCTCGGGCATGGACGCGGCGCCCATGTCACTCAAGAGCGCGATGGCGCCACACACACACACACACACACACATGCGCGCGCACACACGCACACACGCACATACCCACGCACACACATGCACGCAACACACACACACACACACACACACACACACACACACACTTGTCGAGCGAATGGCGGCCGTCTGTTGTGATGTGCTTCAAGAAGGCGACGCACGATGACTGCACTGCGTTCCCAACCCCCCGCGTGGCTGCCAGCTACGGCCAGGTAGCGTAGACCACCTTTCTGAGTGGCGCGAGCATGCTGCCGCTGTTCTGCCAGAGACCTCGCAGAAATCGCATGTTTCCTTCGTGCCTGGGCAGCACTCGAAACAGAGTGATGATGCAATCTTCGATCAAACATTCCCCTGGTCAGGGATAGCTTCGGTCAGGCAGTGGACGTCATACGGGCCCAAGCCCGCTCACGATCGCTTCTGCTAGTAGTGGTGAGCTGTACCCCAGATTATGGCCAGTCCGCGTGCGAACAACATTCCCACTCTTGGCCAAAAGCTGGGATGGGGTGCCATCGTCGCTGTTGATGGCCGCCATAAAGCACCCGGCCGAACGAACAACAAGCTCCAACTTCGAATGCTGTCATGATGCCAGGCGCCTGTCGCAGAAATCAACTCGGCGATGACAGAATTTCCTAGACGCCCCTTCGAACAAGAAGAAACTCAACACGGCTGCGGATGATGATGACGCAACTGATGAAGGCGGTGGTGATTGGTGTGTCGGCACTGCATATTGACAAGGCCAATCATCGAACTGCCTAGAACCGCTCTCAGAATGTTCAAACCTCGAACCTCGCACATAAAGTCCACAAGCCTACATTAGCACGTTGCTAGATAGGTTAGGGGGTCCACGCGATCCACCCCTACCCTGCGTACACCGGTCGTGCTACCAAGGTTAGTACGTATGTACAAACACACCGCGATGGAACCATGACCATACGAATCGTTCCAATCAGCTCTTCTCAAAACCGAATGTGAGTAGCAGCTGAAATTTGTGTGTATGGATATACACATAATTGATCAGAACATGTCGAACATAGATGTTGGAATATACATAGGTAAAGTACAAGCTACGCTATGCACTGTTATAGATCAGCTATATGCTGACGATGCACAGCAGGGATCCCAGCAAAAGGAACAACGATTGGGAGGCCTGCGACGATCCCACTTCTGCCCAGTTCCGGGGCCCCCCGGACCCTCGCCGATCGTTTCGGCCCCGACCTCCTCGGATCCGAGCGATGTGGAACAATCTCGACAGGCGCTTCTCTGCCCTTCTCCGGGGCCCAGGACCCTCGCTGATCGTTCTGGCCCCAGCCCCTCAGATCCGAGCACCGTGGAGAAAAATCACGACGGGCGTTTTGCTCCCCAGTTTCGGGCCCTAGGATCCTCGCGGATCGATCTGGCTCAGGGGAAGCCGCAGAAAGAGGGGGTCGAGTGATCTGACCAAGAATCTTCATGACGCCTTGCTTTCCTCCCGACGCCGAATCTCAAGGATCGCGAGTGAAACCCACTCCTGCGAGGGAGGCTCTTAGACTGAGCCTCGACCCCTCAAGATCGAAGCGACGTCTACTGCGGCAGCGCGAGCCCCCCTCGGGGAGGGGAGGCTCGCGGGCGGTAGACATGTCTCTCCACGGCCACGCGGGCTGGGCCCCCCAGCGGCAACCCCGCGGATGCGGGGCGCTCTGTTCGCGGATGCCCCGCATGGAACGTGCCCATGCGCCCGGGTATCCACGGGATCGCGCCTCGGATTCCAGACCGCGAGGGCGTGGATACGCATACGTCCGCCGCTCGTGAAGAAGGGAGGAGGGCGAGAAGCCAGGGAAGGAGGAGGGGGGGAAGCGGCGGAGGAACACGAGGAAAGCACCGCACCCCGGAGCCCAGGCCGCGAAGGCGTGGACACTGACGCGCGCGCCGCTCGCGAGGGGGGCGCCGGGCGCCCCGGCCTCGTCCTGGCACGCGGCGGCGGCTCCCAAACGCGCAGGGGTCCCCCTGCGCACGGGGACCTCTCGCCCGATCCTGGGAGCCGGAGGCCCCCCTGATCATCCGGTGCCGGCACCCCAAGGGGGGGGAGGGGGCCGCGCACTCAGGGACTCAGGGCTTCCTCCCCCTCCTGCGCCTCCGCCTCCGCCTCCTCCCCCCCTCCCCTTCTCCTCCTCCTCCTCCTCTTCTCCTCCTCCTCTTCTCCTCCTCCCCCTCATACTATTTGTCCGATTGTCCTTATGATTCGTAGTATTATGATTACTCTTGTTCTTACGAGTACTATTATTATTATTATTATTATGGTTATTATTATTTTTAGTTATTATTAGTACTATTAGTATTAGTATTATTGTTGTTATTATTATTACTATTATTATCAGTACCATTATTATTATTAATAATAATATTATTATTATCATTATTATTATTAGTATTAGTATTATTAATGTTAGTATGAGTAGTATTGTTAGTAATATTAATAATGTTATGATTCGTATCATTCGTACTATTATCAATAATATTAGTATTAGGATTGTGCTTCCTGTTCTTCCCAGTAATAGTAGTATTACTGTTATTACGAGTATGAGTATTCCTATGTTGGTTATTATTATAATTATTGCTCCTCCTCCTCCTCCTCTTCATCTTTCTTTTCCTCGTCCTCGTCCTCGTCCTCGTCCTCCTCCTCCTCCTCCTCCTCCTCCTCCTGAGTCCCTTTTCGTTATGAATAACTCCTTCCTGTCGCACCCCGAGACTGGTCGGTAGGGCGGGCAGGGCGTTCCGCCTGAGACGTCCTCACCATTTATGATCCTGAAACATAACCTGCACAACAGTTTCACGGATGGAGGGTGGGTCGTCTTCAAAATTCTAACTGTCGCCTCAGCACCACGCGCATTCGTCTTCTGAGCTTACAACAGTTGCAAGGATCCATATGGTTGTCACGTCCAAGACATGGTGTTTGGGCATGATGTAGGAGCAACATGGAGCAATCGTCAAGTTTATTCGTCGTGTCGAACTCCCAGAAATTACGTTCTGGCGCGATTCAGCATCGTCAGGACTCAACCGTAAAGTTGACTCGCGGCGCTGACATCCAAGGAACAATGTTTGGGCACGGTTCAGGATGATTAAGCAATTGTCCTCCAGCGGGGTACCCCCTTCAGTGAAAATAAATCCTTGTAGGGGCCTGTCAAGAGGGAACATGGAGGGATGCTCCATTGCGACATCGTGAGTATGTCTTGGGTGTACGCTGGTCCTTTCCTCCTCCTCGTCCCCCTCCTCCTCCCTCAAATATTGGACTCTGCACCTTCGCCGGGTGCATCCTTGCCAGCTGTTCAAGCCGCGTCCCGCCGTGGCCACGAGAAGCTTCCAGGAGGCCCAGGAAAGGAACAAACACGTCCAAATCCCCTCCCTCCTCAGCACCTTCCACTCCACTCCTTCCCGCGCTCGACCTCCGTGAGGAAGTGGTGCGGGAGGACGCGGACGACGACGGCGACGGCGACGGCGACGGCGAGGGCGGAGGAGGCAGCGGCGGCGGCGGCGGCGAAAACGACGACGACGACGACGACGACGACGATTGCGGCGGCGGCGGCGGCGGCGGGGCTCTGTCGCGCCGCCTCCGCTGGTCTCACGGTCTCCGCCGCGAGGAGCTCCTGCGGCGCGCGCGCGCGCGTGCCGCACTGAGCGGAGCGGGCGCTCTCGAGGGAGAGCGGGGATCGTCCTCTCGAGATCGGGCCCTGGTTTCTCGGTGAACGCGCTCGTGCGTATGCTCGCACGGCCTCCTCCTCATCCTCCTCGCTCTAAAATTTTGGACGCCCGAAATGGGTACGAACAAATTGGTACGATGCCCAACAACAAATGTTGTCCCAAACCGACAGCGGCCGCTGTTGGGCAGGCGGCCTTCTGTCTCGAACGGACACAGGCCGCGGCGGCGTGGACAGCGAATCCTGTTCAAAATGAACAGGAACTGCTGTTGGGCATTGTACCCATTCGTCCCGTACCCATTTCGGGCGTCCAGAGCATTCACTTGCTTCCGCCAATCCAAACCGGCGCGCCTCGCCTGTCTTCCACGGCTGGCTGCGCGCAGGGCGCGCCGAGGGCTGCTCCAGTGCCCGCGTGGCGGGGCAGCGACATCGGCAGAGGCTGGCCGGGCCTCTGGAGGAGGAGGAGGAGGAGGAGGAGGAGGAGGAGGAGGAGGAGGAGGAGGAGGAGGAGGAGGAGGAGAGGAGGAGGAGGGAGGAGGAGGGAGGAGGAGGAGGAGGAGGAGAGGAGGGAGGAGGAGGAGGAGGAGGAGGGAGGAGGAGGGAGGGAGGAGGAGGAGGAGGAGGGAGGAGGAGGAGGAGGAGCAGGAGGAGGCAGGAGGAGGAGGAGGAGCAGGAGGAGCAGGAGGAGGAGGAGGAGCAGGAGGAGGAGGAGGAGCAGGAGGTGATTCCCGAAGACTGCTTCCCCGGACGGGTTTCGACTGCCACGTTCCCCCCGTGGAGAGGCTGGGACGCTCGGGCACAGGCTTGCATGCACGCGCGCACGTGTGCAGCCCGCCTGCTACCAGAAGGGGAACGCCGAACAAGAAGCGAACCAGCTTTTCTTTGGGGGGCCACATGCGAACCCTACCCGAACCCTACCCCCTACCCCCCCGCGATTTCTGAGGGGGAGGGAGGGTGTTCACTGCGCTCGGGGGCTACCGAGCGAAGTGAACCCCACCCTCCCCCTCAGAAATCGTGGGGGGGTAGGGGGTAGGGTTCGCATGTGGCCCCCTATTCTTCTGGCCACGTCGAGCCCCGGCCACGCACATGTCCCCCGACCCAGATCTAGGGAACGGGCCGAAAGCCAGAACCTCTCCCGAGCCCAAGGCGGCCCTTCCTCGGCACCTCCACGCGTGTGCTCCCTCAGACGTGCACGTACGGACGCGTGTGCCGTGGGCGCGCGCGTAGTAGGGGGCCTCCAGACGAGTCTTGTGCCCAAGCGCGCCCATCCGACAAGAACGTCCGTGCAAACAGCCCCTGAAGGCCTCCCGAACGAGGCCGTCGTCGCCCTGGCAGTAGCCTTCGTCCTCGCCGTCGCCGTCGTCAAAGTCGTCAAAGTGTCCGCAGTCGTCGTCGTCCTCGTAACCTTCGTCGTCGTCGTCGTCGTCGGCGCCGTCGCAGGGCGAATAGTTCCTAGCAAGGCCTCGGGCAGCGCACAGGCCCCTCCCAGAGGTGCTTCCCGCTGGCCTGCTCCAGACCTCCAGCGTATCGGATCGCTACCCTCTGCCTCTGAGGGCCGTTTTCGGGCCCAGGCGCTGTCGAACAGCCTGAAATTGGCAGGGGCAGGAACGATGGGGAGCGGACATCCCAAGGGCTCCCAACTTCGCGCTTCGCGCTGCGCGAAGCGCGAAGTGCGAATAACTTCGCGCTCTCGCGCCGCCTCCCAGGGGAGAAGAGGAGGATGAGGAATCGGAGCCGAACCGCGAAGCGCGAATCACTTCGCGCCCTCGAGGGCGCCCGATGGCACAACGATGTGAACCACGCGCAGGCCTTGCGCCTTGCCTCCACGAGCGCGCACGACACAGCGTGCGAAAAGAGTGGGACGAGGTTGAGATGGGCAGCGTGGTTGCCAAGACTGGCCAGGGAGAAGGGAGGAGGAGCACGCAAAATACTGCCAAGAGTCGAGTGCTCTAGGAGACCCCCATACACACATTTTTGTATGTGTATATATATATACACATGTATATCTGCATCCACATTTGCGTATGTATTGTTTCTTTCTGTACTTTTTCTTTTCAACCTATTTTTTTAAAGTCTGGGAGTGTCTGTGCGCGGCTACCCAGAGACAGCCCCTGGGTCGGCCTCAGCACCCAAGCGTCCCAGTTGGGCACCTCGAAAGGCTAGCTGAGAGCATCCCCGAGCGCTGCCAATGCGCAGCCCTGAACTTTGTCGCCACTGGGGTCAACAAACCCTCCTTGACGCACAGACAATGCATCGGCGATACCGCGATTACGAAGGTCAAGCTCCAGATCGCGCCCCGTCGCAGACGACAAGGCGATGCCACGCGATATGGAGTGTCTTTTTCGAGAACGGCGCCTATGCACCGTATCAACGCGGTACAGTCGGGGCGTTGACCTAAGGAACCCTAAACAAGGAACGAGGCTCCTTTTTTAAGTTAAACTTCGATGTCCTAAGGAACAGTTAAGGAACACGGAGCCCCTCCCCAACGGAGAGGGTTCCTTCTCCCGCGCCCCGACTGTATGCACCGCACCAGTCCTGGGCTGAGGATCGACGGCGCGTCGGGAGACGCCACCGCGGCACGGTGCACGCGAGTCGTCCGCGGACTCCTACCCCGGGCCACAGCTAGGGGGCCCGGACACTCGAGGCCTAGCCTCTACAAATCCACCTCGAAGAGCTTCAAGGTCGGCTCCCTTCGAGAGTACTCGGCAGAACTGCCGGACCTGAGCCAGAAGACCATTCTTCAAGAACGTGAGGCCCTCCGTCGGCCAACGCAAACAGAACATCCAAGGGAACAATCCCCAGAATGCACAAGAACATCCAAGAAACACGAAGAACACCCGGGCACCCTCCCCGAACCGACGTCGGTCGTATACCTCGGTCCAGCTGTACTCGCCGACCCACCAGACCAAGGGCGGGTCAGACATGGGCCGGGCACGGGCGAGGAAGCATCGAGGCACTTCGCTCGCGCGAGCGCGTTCTCCCATCAGCATCCAGTCAAGTCGGTTCGGGGGCTGTGGCCATCGTGTTGCTCAGTGCTTCGCGCGCGGGGGGGCCTGGTGCTGGGGGTCCACCAGATAAATGAAGAGTCGCCTCTGTGCAACATGCTTCAAGAAAGCAGGAGTGGTCTGGAGGAATATCCCCAATGTGACCGAAGAGAGCTCCACATGCTTGCAAGAGCGGTCAAGGAGGCTCCAAGATGGCCCCATCTGGCCTTGAGGTGCTTCAAGTGTTTGCGCCAACATGTCCCAAGAAGATGCACGATTGCCCACAACAGCTCAATTTGGCCTGGATGCTGCCATCGTGCTGACGTAAGAAACGCTGAGCAAGGAACGAAGGGACTTTTCTGGTCGCGGCGAGCCTCAGCCACGAATAGGTTCCCCAACCTAGACCTAAGGAACCTTCCCAAGACCAGATCCCCTCCTGAGCCAAAAGTGGTCCTTATCCCAGCGTCTTGACTGATTGGAATTCAAGTTGAAACCACGAGGCTTAGCATTGACCCGTTAACGTTCGAAGGCAGCTCTCGAGATGTCGAAAAGGATTTAAACACACACTGCGATTACATGTTAAACTGTGCGTTGGGAGGTCTATGGGGCTGTCTGGATGGATCTTGAGGCCGCTTGGGGACGTTCGTGGGCCGTCGTGGCATCATCTTGGGGCCGCTTGGGAGGTCCACGGGGGGCCATGGGGGCAATCTTGGAGGCCGCTCGGGCCGTTAAGGGGGGCTCTCCTGGGAGCATGTTGGACCCCTTCGGGGAGCCGCGGGGCTCTTCTCTGAGGCATCCTTCGGCCGAAAAAGCGAGGAACCGAACAACTCAGACGATGTTGATCGACCTGGCCCCTCGGAGGCCCTACGCCGGGCCAGCTTAGGTGCGCCTCTGGCCGGCTGGGGGGCGATCCTGGGAGGGAGGAGCAGGAGGAGGAGGAGGAGGAGGAGGAGGAGAAGGAGGAGGGGGAGGAGGAGGGGGAGGAGGAGGAGGAGGAGGAGGAGGAGGAGGAGGAGGAGGAGGAGCTCCTGGGGCCATCCTGCAAGTGATCTGGCCATGCGGAGCACTCTGGAGGGTCGCTGTGGGGCCATCTGGATCAGACGAAGCCAGGGCAGGGACAGATTGGAACAGGGATAGGTTGGGGAGCTCCGCGATTCGGCGGTTCTCGACGTATCGGGCGCCGCGGCCTTCTCAGAGCAGTCCGGACCGCTCCAGGAGCGTTCCAGAACGCTCTGGAACGGACTCATCCTTGTCATAGCCCCGCCCTCGGCTACACGCAAGAGTGACCCTGGGTAAGAGTGACCTTTGGTGCGCGGCTTTGGGGGGATCACGGGGGAACCAAACACAAGCGCGCAAGACGCTACTACCGCATCGCGCTCGGCGATCGGAGGAGCCCCAATGGGCCAGCATCAAAGGTCGCTCTGGCGAAGGGCCACTCTTACGTGTCATCGACGCCCGACTTGGCTTCTCTTGGGGTTACCATTCCAGCCGGCCTGAGGCAACATGAAACCAGTTCGGGGCTGCCTTGTGGGCGCCTCGGGCGCCCCCGAGCGTGTCGGGCAGCTGCAGCCCCCGGCGCCAGCCTGATAGGGGCGAAAGCTGCACCAAAAGCGTCACGGTGACACTGGCCGAGGCGGGCCCCATCGCCGTCCTCCACCGTGGGCTCGTCCACCACCGCGCCATCCCGCCAGGCAGGGGAAATCTCGTCCAGCATGGCGACGTACCTGCGAGGAGGAGAAAGCGAGCGCTGCGAGCGCAAAGAGAATCCCGGCCGCTGCATGAGCAGGCGGAAGCGAGGCGGGGCCACGAGAAAGGAGGGCGCGGGGGATAAGCCGTGGGGGCGAGAGGGAAGGGGGGAGGGAGGGAGATTGACTCTGTGACATTTGAATCGGCCCTCCTCCTCCGCCTCCTCCTCCTCGCTCCGCATGACACGGTTTTCGCAGGCCAGCTTCCTCTCGAGGATGATTGCGGCGGGGGGGAGCGCAGGTTATACCTGCTCGCAGCTCCGGATGGACGGCGGCGTGCCGCGCAGAGGGGCCATGCCCAAGAAAGATTCCAGGCACCACTGCAGAAAGGGATACCTATCTCGCCTCTCCTGAAAGAGGGATCGTAAACTCTCAAGGCTGGGCAAGCAGACAGCATTACCATAATTATCCCCATCATCACCATCATCATCGCAAACACGATCCTAGTAAGAGTCACCACCATCATCATCATCATCATCAGCATCATCATCATCATCATCATCATCATCATCATCATCATCATCACCACCACCGCAATCATCTGCACAATCAATATGATCATCATCATCATCATCATCAGCAGCAGCAGCATCAGCATCATCATCATCATCATCATCATCAGCATCATCATCATCATCAGAATCGTCATCATCATCGTCATCATCATCATCATCGTCGTCATCAGTATCACCATCGTCATCATCAACATCCCCATCACCACTATTCCCATCATCAGCAGCAGCAGAAGCATCCTCACTATACTGTACTCATCACCAGCAGCAGCAATCAAATCATACTAATAAAAATGTGGATCGCCATCATCAGCATCACCAGCATCACCACTACCATCACCATTATCATCGTCATCATCAGCATCGTCATCATCATCATCAGCCATACACGTCTGCATCATCATCAGTATCATCATCATCAGCAGCATCATCATCAGAAGCAGCATCACCACCACCACCACCACCATCATCATCATCAGCATCATCATCAGCATCAGCGTCATATCAATAATCATCAGCATCATCAGCATCATCCACATCATCATTCTCATCATCATCAACAAAAGGATCATCATGATCATCATCAGCATCCGCATCATCGTCATCATCATTAGCATCAGCATCATCACCATCATCAGCATCATCATCATCGTCGTCCGCATTATCAGCATCATCAGCATCACCATAAATCATCGTCAGTACAATCATCGTCGTCATCAGCATCGTCATCATCCACCTCATCTTCATATTCATCATCATCATCAGCAGCATCATCATCATCATCATCATCATCATCATCATCATCATCATCGGCAGAAGCATCAGCATAACCATCATCTCCATCGTCGTCATCTTCATCACCATCGTCAGCAGCATCATCATCTGCATCAGCATCAGCAGCAGCATCATCATCACCATCATCATCATCATCATCAGCGTCGCCATCGTCACCATCATCATCATCATCATCATCATCATCAGCATCATCGTCAGCATTAGCATCATCCTCATCATCATCATCATCATCATCATCATCATCATCATCATCATCATCATGCTCATCGCCGTCAGCAGCAGCAGCATCCTGCCCCTTCTCCCCTTGAGGTGGCAGGGAATGGTGCTTCAAGGACAGGATACAGCCTTTTGGAGAGGGGGGAACAATGGCGGCCCAAAATGTGTAAGAGGAGCAGGAAAAGAAGGATCCTTAGGACGTGGGGAGAGGTATCAGGAGGAAAGTTGTTTTACCAACTATCGAAGGGGAGGTCTACACCGATAGCAACGAGAGGCCATAAGAAAAAGAGGCTGCATGAAGGACGAGGATGAGGGAGAGCAGATGGGAGAGAAGGGAAGACGGGAGGGGGACGAGGCGAGGGAAGGAGGAGGGGGCCCCAGGAGAGCTGAGGGGGATGGGGAGTGAGAGAACGGACGGGGGGCCCAACTTTGCAAACAACCACTGGGTTGGAGCCAGACCCAACCTTTGCGCTGACCTCCCGCAACAACGCACGAACTCCCTGAACACTCAAGATGGAGGCGGCGGAGGAGAGGATCGTGGCGGTGTGAACGGTAGAAGAACTGCGCCAGACAGGGAGGCGAACGCCCGCCTCAACATGGCCTCCGCCTTGGGCACCCCGCGCTGGGAGTTCCAGGCCTCCCACTTGTAGGAAGCCTCGCGAGACTGGCGATGACGGAGCGGGGCGAGGCAGGGGACGAGGCGGGGAGATGAGGAGGAAGAGGAGGAGGAGGAGAGGGAGGAGGAGGAGGAGGAGGAGGAGGAGGAGGAGGAGGAGGAGAAGGAGCAGGAGGAGGAGGAGGAGGAGGAAGAGGAGGAGGAGGAGGAGGAGGAGGAGGAGAAGGAGGAGGAGGAGGAGGAGGAGGGGGGGCGGCAGGGCCCGAGGGAGAGGCTGCTGCGCCGAGGGGGTCGTTCCGTGGCGTGGCGTCCTCGGGGGCGACCTCAGCGCGCCGCCAGGCATCGACCCCTTCGGCGACGCTGCGCCTGCCGGGTGCAGGTCCGCGGATCGGCGCGGAGCACGGAGGCAGCACCGCCCGATTTGTCGATGGAGCGCGCCGATGATGCAAAGAAGCGGGGCCCGTCGCTAACTCGCGCGCCTCGATCCGAGGTCGCACGTCCTGGTCGGGCGTGCGAGGCGGGGATGCATCCATGTCCACCGCCCGGGAAGCGACGTCCTGGTGCCCCCGCGGGCGGTGGACATGGACGTGGACATGCTTTGGCCCCCGGGGGCCCGAACCTGTCCACATCCGCCGCCTACCGAGGTCCCCGAAAACTGCTCCTCCAGGCGGCGGTCACGTGTACGGACTCTCGCCTCGGAGGGCGGGGCCGGGCGGGGGGCGCGCCCCCTCGGGTGGCTCGGGGGCGCGCCCGGCGTGGCCTCGCGCCGGGAGGGCGCCCGGCGAGGAGGCACGCCTCCGAGGACCAGGCGGGAGGCCCCGCGGGGGGCCCCCGCTGCTCCCCCCGCAGACCACCCGCGGCTCCAAAGAGTCGCGCCGGACGCTTCGGGGGCGTCCAGGTGGGGGGGGTCCAAGAGGGGGGTCGTAGATCATGGCGGGAGGCAAGGGGACGTGTTGACAGAGGGCGAGGGGGCTACGAGATCAGGTCCGGGGAGATGTCGTGGTCGCCCGCCCTGGTCATCCAGCCCCCTCTCGATGATCCTCAGCACGTGTGTTAGCGCCAACGTGCGTTTGCCCACTGAGGCGCTTCACTGCGACGAAGGCGATGTGATGATCGACTGGTTGGGTTGAACGGGGTAACACACCCATTGGGCTAACTCGGCGGTGGACAAACCTCCCTTTAGCAAACCACCCTTTAGTGAAAACGACCTAGGACCGAAACCGACGGACCCGGACCCGCAAAAATGACGGCCACGACGCCCTCTCACGAACCGAATTCGGCCAATCCGCTAATCGACGTGTCAGGGTAAGAGGTCGATCAACATCCGACTAACATCGTCGACCCTTGTGGCCGCCCCCGAACAGTTTTCTGTCCATCTCTGCGTCCAGAGGCCGCGGTCGGGCCCGGGGGTTGTTTCCACAGCAGCGCCAGGGCCGAAAAAAGAGCTGCCCCTGGGCCGAGGTGTCAAGGATCCTCCTCCTCCTCCTCCTCCTGCTCCTCCTGCTCCTCCTCCTCCACCTTCTCCTCCTCCTTCTCCTCCTCCTCCTCCTCCTCCTCCTCCCTCCTCCGTAGCCGTTTTGGCTCAAGATGCTTTGTTCCACAGGGTAACACGTGGATACCGCTGCGACCGCGGCCAGACAATAAGAGATGTTGTTTGTGAGCTCCTGGAGGAGCGATAGCCCCTTCCCGTCCACGGCTGCAGCCACTCTTCGAGTGCCATGGCGCCGCCGTCAAAGAAATGGGCATGGCCGCGTTGCGGGAGCTGCAACAACTGTCCGTATGACTG